CCCCACAAACTCTTCTCTCGGGAGAGGGCAGTCTCCGGAAACATAAATCCACTGTTCATTAATACAGTCAATGGCTATCTCCACTGGAACATTCGTGAACAGATTTTACATCCAGTGAGATTAATTTGTATTGGTCTGTAGTGTGCAATCTTTTTAATTTTTCCACCAGTTCAAAACTGTTTTTTATATAACTCTTTGCTTTTAGGAATAGATTTAAATAATATGTTGTGTAAGAATGTTGCCAGTGGATAAAGCGGACTGCCTATCGAAGAGACAATAACCCTCAGAGGGCAACCAGGTTTATGAATTTTCGGCAATCCATAGGCTCTCGGAAGTGACCCATCACTACAATATAACTGTCTTGTATTTTATTTCACTAATGTAATTCTTAGTTTTCCATCTGGTGAGCATGGACCTTAAAGCTGTCGTGATTTTCCTGATGGGATCTTTATTGATATGAGAGTATGTGTCCCCGTCACTCAACAGAATGATCATCTTATCCATGTAAACCTCTCTGTCTAAAGCGACTGTGACATTGCTCTTGTTTGCGTGTGTGAAAAGGACATTGGCATGTTCTGATAAAAAGGCACGTGTATTCGATTCCATTCTTAATAATAGTTTATCAATCGGAGATGTGACTGGACACAATGTCGGTTGTGACTGGAGAGGAAATGATACTGTTAAGAATTGGAATGGAGTGGTTGGTGATCGCGATCCTATTTTCAATCGGCATACGATGTGTGCTGGCCTCAATGTTCTTAATGCAATCGAAAATAATCCTATGCTTATTGTTTAGTGGAAGGGCGAAATTACCACCTAGTTGTAGGAAACACTGTATGTCTAGTGAAATGGTAACGGAGGATAGGTTGAGGAACCAACCGTCTCGGACAGTGGTCAGGGAAGAAGATCTGTGTGAAGAGAAGGAACTGGGATGTAAGGATATCAAGGCACTAGAAGATAAAGTAAGGGACGGATTGTTGACACACAATGTGTCCTTGTGCACGAACGTTGGGCCAGCACACATGCATGTATCGTATTTATATAAAATAGGTTTAATTCCGGTTATAGTCTGTGCTTCTCTTTTATCAGAAAGCCATAAAGTTTATGATGTAATCTCTCTCTTTCTTTTCGGAACAGGACATTACAAGATTTTTCCTGTGTATGAAGAAAATCATCGAGAATCTTTGTAGGAAGACAGCGATAAAAAGTCCGCTCACCACATGGAAAAGAGACTTTCTGTAAAAATCTGTCTGTCTGTACGCGACATTCAGTTCTAAATGGAGAACTTTTTTAATCATAAGTCTTTTACACTGCGAAAACTTATGATTAGATCTGTGATTATGTAGTTTGATACGAAAGTCATTAATGGTGTTGTGGGTAAGGAGATAGTTCGGTATTAACTGTGACTTGGTTGGCGCGGACACTTGTACTTTATTTGTTAGGCAGAAGGCGAAAACGTGGTGCATTCGAGTCGATGAGTAAAATATGACTGACTCTTCTCGAGATTCTTGCGAGGTTCCTCGCGCATCCCGCGCGAG